CAAAGCACGGAGCGGTTCCGCATGAGAATGCTGTGCAATTTGCGAGATGTTTCACGTGGTGACTCTTTCGTGTGTCATTCAGCTATCGCTTGTGGCACGATCAATCGGCAGGCCATCCTGCTGCTTTGCAGAGCATTTGGCAAGTTCGAGTTTGCCGTCAAAGTGCCACGCTTGAGATATGCACTTTTGCCACTTGCGTGCTCGGGGAATCTTCGTTGCCTCTAAGGAGGCTGTTGAGCTGACAGAATTGAAAGCCAAAGGCGGCAGTGGCTTGTACTGCATTTAGCAAGCGTGGGTGGCATGGTATGTTTTGCAATGCGTTCAGACAGTCACTATGACATTTCCTTGTTCATTGTGTTAGGTTTGTTGTGACATGTCTGACATGTCTGAGTCGCTACCATTTTGCACGGCACAGTCATCTGAGGCATCGATGTTGATGCTTTGAAGGATAGAGCCTATGCGGCTCTGAACCAGCGCGGGCTGCGCCTTGGCTGCTAAGGGATTGTGACACTTAGAAACCGATCAGAACAGCAGCCAGCCTTCATTCTTTGCCGCAGCTGTTGCTCTGTTTTGGCGCCAACCAGAGGTCCTTCGAGTTGTTCTCCACCATTGCCAGCTCCCCAGATCCTCAGAACCGAGCGGACCTGCGCGATCTTGCACTGCCCTGCCCCCCCGGCTTGGTTTGCCCCTGCTTCTCAAGGTCAAGCGTGGAGGTGCCAACATCCAGCAGATCCACACCATCTCGACTCCCTGGCAGCCGCCGTAGCCCTGGACCACGTCATCGCTGGCTCCCTGGAAAAACCACCCCCAAAGCAGCACAGAATTCCCTGGCCAGCCCAAAAGTGTCTCCGTGTCTCCACTTCAGGGAACACAGCTGACTGCAGTTCAACGAGAGTCCTTCGGCCTGGCGGCCATCTTTGACAGTCATTCAGGTTACAGCACTTTGCCCCGCTTTGCCTCCCAATCCAACAGTCAACACGTGTGACCGTATCCTGCTGCCTTGGGGACCATCTCGAGGCCAGAGAAGTACGAGGGGCCTGCCCTGCTGGTGCTGGCACCAGACTCCGCTGAGTGCAGAGCTCAGAGAAGATGCAGAGCATATGGTATACAGGCGTTGTGTGTTCGGACAGGTGGATTTGTTGGAACAAGCGGAGCCTGCTGGATGTTGTCCCAATTAGCTTGGATGCAGCTGCAGATTTTGCTGGTGCAAATCCGAGGTTTGCGAGCGCGCAGGAGATCAATGCCCAGTATTGTACAAAGATGGAGGCAAAGGGTACAGCATTCCGTGCCACTGCACCTACTCGGGCCTGCGAGAGGTGGTTCACGGCAAAGGGAGCCACTACAACATGATGCAGGCGTGGATCTTTAGAGTACTTGGCCACCGTGTCCCACCAGCTTTCCAATATTTGTAGAGATGTCGTAGCCTTGAAATGGTGAGCAGGTGACCATGAGTCACCTTGAGCACTTGGATTGTTCTTTTGTCTTCCTGCCTGGCTTTCTTGCTTGCACTTGCTCCCTGGCACGGGCCGGTGTCCTGACCCTGGCATCTGCAAGGCTGAGCAAGCCGTGGTGCAAGCTCGGCTCGTGCTGGAGTTCCTGAAAAGGCAGGGCCCGAGCGCAAGCCCGGCAACACACATTTTTAGTTTCTGCTTGCAGACCCGTGCAGTGTTATGCAGCATAGTTCGACCATGGGCAAAGCAGAGAGCGAGAGACGGAGGGAGAGAGAGAGGGAGAGAGAGAGAGAGAGAGAGAGAGAGAGAGAAAGAGATCAGGCTTTGTATATGTGTCCAGTGAGGCAGAACCTTTCTTGTTCCACGTCTTCCTGTGAGGCTTGGCTGTCCTGTGGAGATCACAATCTCAGGCAGGGAGGGAGGGTGGGGTGGGGGTGGTGGGGGGGCGGGTGTGGGTGTGGGTGGGTGGGTGTGGGTGGGCGGGTGTGGGTGGGTGGGTGTGTGGGTGTGGGTGTGTGTGGGTGGGTGGGTGTGGGGTGGGTGTGGGGTTGGTGGGTGTGGATGGAGGTGGGTGTGGGTGGGTGGGGGTGGGTGGGGGTGGGTGAGTGGGTGGGTGGGGGTGGGTGGGTGGGTGGGGGTTGCAGGCACGGAGCCCCGAAGAGCAAAGGGCTTTCCTTCTCTTCCTGCTTTTCTATAATTGTGCTGCAGGCATCGAACGAACGTATCTGAAAATCTCAAACGTTTGCTCTCATGCGGCTTGGCAAACATCAGATTTCGCCTGCCAGTCCGGACGGATCAGCTGCTGCTGCTGAGGCGCCTGTGCCGTTGTTTTGCCGGGAGGGGCGAGACGACAAGACCCTCTTGTCCCTTCCACAAATGCGCGACAACACTGGGCCGAATGTGGAGTGTAGGAAATCTCAGAGCGATGGCCTGCCAGGCCGGGCAAGCCGCAAGCCCCCAAGATCTACATGGTGCACGGCGGTGAGCTGAGAGAGACATCCAACTTCAAAGCGCCAGTACATCATGTTTCAATTACAGGAGACGCGACGTCCCAGTAGCAAGCTCCTTGCAAGCTCTCAGGAAGCGATGTGGAGAGTGTTTGTTTGATACTGTTGTGTTCTCCACGTTGAGCGTTTGCGAAGGAAATCAGGATGAGTCCACCCGAGTGTCTGAGCACACATGCCTTGTGCGGGGCTTGACCAAGGCTTGGACGGCGATGCCATGGGCGGCGGCGGCACCTTCAAAAGCATCGCGGCGGAATTTTCGAACTGCAGGCGGGCATGTTGCAGGTACCACTTCTTGATGCCGCGTAATACGTGACTCTCCCGAACCCTTCCCAGGGTGGGAGCTCTAGTCTACGACTCCGAAGACGGGAGGCTCAGAGTCACCTTGGAAAGAGCCGTGGCAGCCATGGTCAGAGCCATTCAGTCAGATTGGCTTTTGTGTCGGCTTTGTTTCTTGGTTGTTTTCTGTGCCCTGGGTGGAGTCAAGGGGTCGTTTGGCGCAGAGAGTTGCCGCAACACGATCACAGCGTTTCAGTGCATTACTTTGTCTCGCACGGTTGGTGTCCGGATGGGATTGAATGGCAACCAGAATGCGGTGCTAATCTGCTCCTGATCCTCGAGGCCTTAGCATGCAACTCTCTGCCAGAGCTTGCGGCTTGCTACAACCAGCGTGCATAGGCCTCAGCTTGCATTGGCTTAGTCACCAAGGGCGCTGTAGGTGTGAGAATGGTTGGCACATAGCATGAGTGCACATCAGCACTCCAGCCACCATGTTTCTGGGTGGCCCATCATTGGCGATGAAGTGGTGATGAAGCGTATCAAAGGATGCCCTGGTGCGTTGAACTGCAATGCGATCTCGGGCTTTCTGAGGTTCGAGCAGATGCAGAATCCCACGGCCCTGTCACGGCTAGAAACTCAGACTGCACAGGCAGATCAGATGAAAAAATATGGGGAGCATCCAAGTTTACAGGCTTGAGCTGAACTATCGACCCGCGCTTCATCCCGGCATCAGTTTCGGGCACATCTCTACTACTTCGCGGTCGGAATTGAGCCAAAGGTTTGTTGGGCTGTGATTCGGCCTTCAAACCTTGAGGCAAGTTGCCAAAGCCCTTCCGGGAGAAGGGGTCGTGCGTTTGCCGTGCGCTTAGGCTGAGAGTCCCATCGTGGTCTGTGGCACTTAGCTCAGATAGGGCACTGGTCGTGCCGCTCCGGCGACTCCTTGCCTGGCCGCGTGAGTTGCCAGGCTACTCCTGGGGCTGCGTGCTGGCACATCAGATGGGCCATCAGCTTCGGAAGGCAAACCAGTCGAATGTCAATAGAGCAAGACCTTGCGGGCTCCCGCTCCTCTCAGGCCGGCGTCCACGTCCATATGGTGATGTTCGACTTAGAGGCGCGGTCTTATTGCCTTGTTGCCAATCGCCGCGTCGGAGCGTTCGCGAAAAGCGGCGTCATCGGATCACATAGGATGGTTTCATAGGACTCAAGTCAAGGAGGTGGTGGATCGCGGGAATTGGAGGGCTCGAGCGGATCGGACGGGTTTACTGTGGATGGTCTCAGGAACTCCGCTTCTTGCACCGTTGAAACCATTTGATAACCGATTCCCCATCGGTAAAAGCCAACCGTTAACGTTCTGGTTTCAACCATTTGACAACCGATTTCGCAACGGTCAATACCAGGGGTCCTCGTCTCAGCCCTGGTTTGATCCGGACTCCAAGAGGTCGCCGGGACCCGGTCATTCGAAGTGCCAGGTGACCTGGCCTCCGCCGGCGACCACCTCGCGGGTGGGAGGATATGACTTCCTGGGCGGCGAGACTGAGGCGGGCGTGCAGTCGATCGCTTGGGGCAAAGCAGCTGTGAGGCCTGCACTGGATCTCTGAGTTTGCTGGTCTTGGTGGGACTCCCCAACCATCCGTTTCCTGAGCCCTTTAGCTTTTTGTAGGGTTCAGCGGTTGGGTTCCATTAAACCCACCAAGGTTTAACTTTTAGCAGGAGATCTCAGGACAGCCCACTTGTGTGATGAGGTTCGGGCTTTTTTGCTGGACGATTGACCTGTACTGTGTTGAAGCAAGGGTTCTGAGTTCTGTACAATGCCTTTGGAATCCCTCCCCCTAACACTAAAGTTGTGCCGCCCCCCCCCCCCACAGGCGTCAAGAACTGGGTGGCTCTGAAATGTAGGGAGGTCCGAACACCTCCCAGAAAAGGCATTTTGAGGTGAGGGACTTCACTTGGATCAATGATGCACTTTTTGTGCTTCTTCGGTTTTGGCTTTAGACTTGGTTTAGTATTGATCAAATCTAGTTTGTTGCTGACGGACACATTACTTTATTTGGGGGACTGTTTATTGTTAGGAGGAAGTGATTTCCATGTTAAATTTTGTTTCATTCGTAATGCATTGTCCAAATGGCTTCCTCACAAGGCTTTCCCAGGCTTGCAGTCGGTTGTGCCACAATCGGCGAGGCCATCCTTCTGATCAGCAGAGCATTTGGGAAGTTCGAGTTTGCCGTCAAAGCGCCACGCTCGGGGCATGCAGACACGCACTTTTACCACTCATGATCATCCTCTGTCACCTGTGTGCCAGACAAGTTTCTTTGTGCTGAGGAGGCGGTTGAGCTGACGGAGCTGCAAGCCAAGGGCGGCAGCCGCTTGTACGGCACAGAAGTGGGGACAGAACTACCGGGAACCGCTGAAACATGACAATTCGTTGGTGGGTGTGTAGTTGCACATACATTTTTTTTAAACAAAAAAAAACTCATTGTCACTATTTGGATTCAACGTAGTTCGTACAAATTAGAAGTTTTCTGAGACACGTTGGCATCATCGATGGTCCACAGTCGATCAATGCACGGACATCGAGGCTGGGATGTGGCTGCATTGAAGGAGCGAGCCTTTGCGGCTCTGAAGCAGCGAGGATTGCCCTTTGGCTGCAGGTTATGGGTCAAAATTCGCCACCACCAGGAATTGGACCGCAGCTTTGAGTCAATTTGTGTACCCATTTACCAGGAGAACCCCATTTTGGGGTTACCATATTTTTGACCAGCCAGATCATTCACCCCGAGACCAAAAATGCGCAGCTCCATTTCTCTACGCAAAGGGTGGCGTCTCACGCCTTCACGCCTGGGAGGTCCTCCGAGTTATTCTCCACCATCGCCAGCTCCTGAGGAATTTGGCCGTGGGTCAACACCAATTGGATCCCATTTTGGGGTAGGTGAATTCACCACCCATTTTAGAACCTATTTTAGTGGTTGGATTGGGATGTTCACTGGGGGTACGATTTGGGTTTTGACCCATGGCCATTTGTCCGAAGTGCGGAGCCGACGGCGCGCGCGCAATTACGAAGTGCAGGTGGAACGTGGAGGTGCCAACATCCAGCAGATCCACACCATCTCGACTCCCTGGCAGCCGCCATAGCCCTGGACCTTGCCCCAACAGGGCCGCAAGAGGTCCAATTAGACTAAGTCTACCCTCCAGACTAACATGGAAGCTCCTAGGAGCCCTTTGGAAGATTTGAAACTCCATTTACATCGGCCCATTGGGGGAGCTTCCAGCTTTGTCTGACGGACCGTAAGTGTCTCCGCGCAGTGAACACAACTGACCTCAATCGTTTCCCGCCCTGAAAGCCATCAGGCCGGAGAAGTACGAGGGTCCTGCCCTGCTGGTGCTGGCACCAGACTCCTCGGAGTGCGGAGCTCAGTGACGTAGAGTGTACGGCATACTGTAGAAGTTTAAGCTGGTGGTGTGCAAGCTGCATGCCGTGGGCAGTGGGATGCTTGAAGATGTTGGAACAACAATCGTTTTCTTGCCACTTGGACGTGACATGCCTGTATCCTGAATCCGATGCAATGTCAGGTTTGCAAGCGCAGCGGAGATCAATGCCCAGTACTGCACAAAGATGGAGGCAAGCCTTTTCTCTTTTTCGTTTTTTGTGGGGAGGGGGGGGGAAGGGGGTCAGTTTGTAGTCCGCAGCTTTCGGTTTTCACAACCGGCAACTGCCGGCAACAATGGTCACTTTGCTTGGGATCTCACTGGCAAAATGGACTTGCTGAAGGTGAGGTTTTGCTTGACCATGTCCAAACTTTATCAATCCCTGAGCGCGGCTCATTCATGAGCATGTCGACTGCCTGCCTGCGGAGGTGGTTCATGGGAAAGGGAGTCACTACAACATGATGCAGGCCAGCTTGAGTTGTCACTGGGAAACAGCTAAGCAGACCCCCAGTTCCGCCCGGAGCGGTGACGCGTCGTGGCTTTATGCCGACTCGCCCCTGATGCATTATTGCCGGACTTCCGTAAGGGTTCTGCAGCAGGCCGAGCAAGCAGTGGTGCAAGCCCAGCTTGTGCTGGAGTTCCTGAAGAGGCCGGGTATCTCTGCGCTTGCCGCCGCTTAAGCTGGGGAACGCCAGGCTTGGCTGCGCCGTCGAGATCGCCGGTCTAGGCCTGGCCTTTTGGAACGCAAAAGAATGCGAGCCGCCCTTTGGCAGGGCTTCCAACACTTGAACACTGGAACACTGGAAGACTGGAACATTGGGACAGCGGAACACTGGAACACTCGAACACTGGTTCCCTACCTCCAAAAGTGGATCGATGGTTTCAATGGATTCCGCCGGTAGATTGATCAACCTTTGATTTGCTTGGACCTCCGGTGACAGATGGCCATGGGTCATCCCCAGTGAACGGGACCCAATCCAAGCACTAAAATAGGAAGCCTAAAATGAGTGGTGAATTAATCCACCTACCAACCAAAATGGGATCCCAAAACGGTTTTGAAAACCACCGCCAGATGTTCGGCCCATTCCTCAAGTCCTGCCCCTCGCCGCTTCTCGCGGCTTCTTGCCTCGCGCCGCTGTCCAGGCCGCAGCGATCAGCTGGTCATCCTAAGGCGCGGAGGGGCGTCAGCTGCGATGAATTTCGTGTTCGGCGATGAGTTTCCTGGCTGACCTGACACAAAATTAGAAGTATCCTGGTCGCACACATGAAATATCTTTGCGTTGCACCTAGACTCCTCGACCTTTTTCCACTGGAATCCTTTGACACGTGATGCTCACGCCAAAAAGTCATGCGAATCAGCTCTGAGGCCTGGCAAACCAGAGGCCCGGAAGATCTACATGGTGCATGGTCAAGGGCCTAGCGCCTGCCTTGCTTCCGCTCGGCCTAGCGCCCCCATACACCACATCACTCACCTAATGGGGCAGATCACGGGCTGTCCCGAAATCGCCCCCTGCATCCAAAGATGCCCCTGCTATTTCTTGCTGGTGCCATAGGCAGGAAATGAGAAATGGAATGACCCCTACAAACCCCAACCAAGTGGTGGTTGCCTTTTTTGCGGGGACCCCCAGGTTCATTCCGTTTTTGCACCAGAAAGATTTGTTACGCCCAGGTCTGGACGGAGATTGCATGGGCGGTGGCACCACCTTCAAAGGCATTGCTGAAGAGCTATCAAACTGCAGGCCGGGGGTACTGCACCGAACACTTCCATTTGCTTAAGAACATTATTTTTGTTCTTATTATTATGCCTATTTCCCCTTGGTTTTAAACGGAATCTATGACTAGTGAACATATTGTTCTTTTTCAGGGGGCTCAAGCAAATGGAGGAAAAGGACCTGAGGCAGCCCGTTTTTGGGAGCTGCAGGGTGGGAGCTTTGGTCTACGACTCCGAAGCCCGGGGGCTCAGCATCGGAGTCGACGGTCGACGGCACGTCTCTCATGGGAGGGTGGCTTAGGCCTGTGCGAAGAGAAGCCAGCGGGACATTCGGCAAAGCGCCTTGAAACGGGGACCCCCCCCCCAAAAAAAAAAATGAACAAAATAAATGGATGGATTGATAAATGAACAAATGAATAGACACATGTTGCGGGTTTCCATTTGGTGGTTCCCCTCCAAAACCAACCAAAAAGGGGCTCCCCGAAAGAAATGACGAGCCACCAATTTTCGGCTGATGTTCAACAAAAAGTCTCGTTTCTGAGGCTATGGCATGCAACTCCCTGCCGGAGCTTGCGGCTTGCTACAACAAGCGTGCAGAGACCCCAGTGGTGGCGACGGGTTCGCGCAGTTGCCACTTGGGCGTTGTCCCTAAGATATGGGAGAAGTGGCTGGACAACCACTAGGATGATACTCCAACCACATGGGTATGGCTCGCAATTAAACAGGCTGGGGACCGCAGGTTTTAGCCAGGTTCCATGTTGGAATGGCAAAGTTGCCCGTGGTGGGGAGCCTTTCAGTTGATCAAGTCCCACTTGAATCGAGAGGTGGTGGCAGATGCTGAAGGCTTTGGCCCCATCACCGCGTTGGCCTCGGCAGTGCAGAAGTCTCCGGCGTGTTTTGCCTGGCGCTTTTTTGGGATTTCTCGCCAGAGGGGGCCATGGGTCAAAACCCCGTACCCCCAGTGAACATCCCAATCCCTACTAAAATAGACCAACATGGGTGGTGCACCTATCCCAAAATGGTACCATTGGTTTTGAACCATGGCCAAATATCTTGGAAACGGCGCAAAGCAACATCGCTGCGCGCTTTGGGGCTGTGACATGCTGTGACTTCGTCACCATAGGTCACGGTTGGCTACGTTGGAAGCGCAAAGCTTTCCATTGAGGCTGAGCACCCCGTCATCGTGGCAGGACCGAAGCTCGTTGGCTTGCATATGGAAGCAGGCTGCACCTCATCCAGATTCGGATCATGAGAACTCGGAGCAGTCCAACTGAGCCACAATCAAAACCCGGGTAGATGAAGGATGGTGAGGGACAATCCCAACCATAAGTAGCTGCAGCTGCCTTCTAACTTCCTGACATGGTTCTGAGTAGACCATTTTAGTACCGGGTTTTGATTGTGACTCTACTGGAGTTGCCAGGCTACTCCTGGGGCTGCGTCCCCGCCCACGAGATGGGCCACCAGCTTCAGCAGGTGCAAGAACTTAACGCCGACTGTGCTAAGGTTAGGACGCCTAAAAGCTGGATCTGGGTGTGGCTCAAAATTAGCCAGGAAGGGTTACGGTCCATGTTTCCACTTGCCAGAGTTTCATGTTGGTACCGGTTTTTTGAGCAGCCGTCTAGCAAAGCACAACAAAGGACACGGAGGGCCTCGCCGAAGTTTGACCACGGTTTGAAGAGAGCGAGGCTAAGGCCCGAGGCTTTGAGCCTTTTGCCACGCCTAGGCGGGCGTCCACGTCGCTGTGGTGATGTTCGACATGGAGGCCGCTTGGCTTTTCCGAAACGCGCGAGGTGTACGGGTTGGGTGTCGTTTGCCGGCACGAACTCAAAGGGAACACAATGTGGACGTGAGAGCCAGCGCAATACGAGTACAGCAAAGGGGGTCACACACACAAACACAAGCAAAGGAAGAAAGAAAGAAAGAAACAAATAAAGACAAAAACAGACACAGACAAACAGGCAAACAGACAAACAGACAAAGAGACAAAGAGACAAACAGACAAACAAACAAACAAACAAACAATTACACACATAGACAAACAAACAAGCAAACAATCAAGCAAGCAAGCAAGCACACATACAAACACACACACACACAAACAAACAAACAAACAAACACACAAACAACCAAACAAACAAACAAGAACACACATAGACAAACAAACAAGCAAACAATCAAGCAAACAATCAAGCAAACAATCAAGCAAGCAAGCAAGCACACATACAAACACACACACACAAACAAACAAACAAACAAAGAAACAATCCAGCACGCACGCACGTAAGCAAGGAAGCAAGCAAACAAACAAACAAACAAAACAAACAAACAAAACAGAACAACACAGAACAAAACAAGCAAACAAACAAACAAACAAAACAAACAAAGCAAAGAAACAAAAACAAACAAACAAACAAACAAACAAACAAACAAACAAACAAACAAACAAACAAACAAACAAACAAACAAACAAACAAACAAACAAACAAACAAACAAACAAACAAACAAACAAACCAGCAAACAAACAAACAAACAAACAAGCAAACAAACAAACACACAAAGCAAACAAACAAACAAACAAACAAACAAACAAACAAACAAACAAACAAACAAACAAACAAACAAACAAACAAACAAACAAACCAAACAAAACAAGCAAACAAACAAAACAAAGCAAACAAACAAAACACACAAATAAAACAAAGCAAAGCAAAACAAAACAAAACAAAACAACACAAAACAAAACAAAACAAAACAAACAAACAAGCAACTAAATAAATAAATAAGTAAACACATAAACACACAAACAAACAAACAAACAACCAAACAAACAATCAAACCCACACAAACAAGCAAGCAAGCAAGCAAGCAAGCAAACAAGCAAGCAAGCAAGCAAGCAAGCAAACAAGCAAGCAAGCAAACAAACGAACAAACAAGCAAGCGCACACACAGACAAACACACAACACACACCCACACACACACACACACATCATGAGCGCTTACAAGACTGTCAGTTTGACACTGGTTCACTTGACCCTCATGTGTTTTTGGCAAAAATGTGGACATGTCTCGTTCTTTCAGCTCAAAGGCGAACCCATGATTGGTGATATGGCTTGAAAGAACATCGGCTCAAAGACAAGGTTGCCTGAACACACAAATGTTGACCCCTATGAATCAGCCCCAGTAATGAATAGGGGTGGGGTCTCCAAGAGTGGTCTGATTCCCCACTAAACCCAGGGAACAGCACCCCCCCTATCAATTCAAACTGGGTGGATTAATATGGGGTCACGAGGGTCGAGGAACCTCTCCAGGGACCGCGCTGAGCGGACGTCCGATTTTCGGTCCGTGCGTCCGCGCAGGTCTGCTGGCCGCCGCCGCGGGAGATCTCGAGATTGGGAGGCTATGAATTCCTGGGCGGCGAGGTTGAGGCCGAGACTGGGTGACGCTGGGCTTGGAAGCTGCAAGTTGGAGACCTGGGGACCAGCTCGAATTGAGATCAAGCCCTTGATGGCTCCATTTTTTGAGGAATGCAATGTGTCAGAGGAAAGGCATCAATTTTTTGTATTTGTTCCCCAGCTGAAAGCTACAGGGCTGCATTTTATGCCACCGGAGAGGCCATCCTGTTGATCTGCCGGACCTGCGCCCAATCGGATTTCGCCACGAAGGTGCCTGGCTCAGCATCGCTTTGATTTTTGTTGTCGCATGGGTATGGGTCAAAATGAAACCAGCGGGGGACCACAGGCTTTAGTCCTTGGATCCATTTCCAAGGTTCCATGGTGGTTATTTTTGACCCACAGCCATCCAACCTTCTTTACCCTTTCGCTCAGGAGGTGAAAGAGCTGACAGCATTGAAAGCAAGCGGTGGTAGTGACTTGTACTGCACAGGATCATGGCGAATTACAGCAGCATTTAGACGGATGCCAATGCTTGTATGGTGCATGTGCTTGTGGCAGCACCTTGAGTCGATATGCACAACAGATGGCTGTGGGTCAAAACTAAACCACCAGGGGACCGCCTGGTTTAGTCATGGGTGCCATTTACCAGGGTTCCATGTTGAGTACCCATTTTTGACCCACAGCCAGATGGAAAGAGATGATGAATGTGAGAAAGAGAGACAGAGAGCATTCAAGTAAGATGAAAGCAACACACGGCTGGAGAGGGAGAAGTAGGAGCTTGAGAAAACAGAGAAGCACCAACATTAAACACATGCGACGAAACATGTATATTGTAGCGCAATGTACCGCAATGTAACGTAGCCATGGAATGTAATGCAAGCAGTGTATGTAGTGTCACGTAATTGAATGTAAATGTATTGCAATGCAATGTAAATGCACATGTACATGTCAAAGCAAATGTAATGTCAGCTGCACGCGAATGAATGAAATTGTAAATGCAAACGAAAATGAAGACCTGAACGTGATGTTAGGCAATGCAATGTGCTGTAAGGTATGTATGTGTGCAATGTAACGTAACGCAATGTAACGTAATGTAGCGTAATGTAATGCAATGTATGTAATATATGTAATGTATGTAATCTATGCATGCATGGATGCATGCATCCATGCAAACAGAACGACACAGACACAGACACAGACAAATACACAGACACACACACAAAGACACAGACACACATGCATGCATACATACAGCACACATACAGACATACTTGCACACATACATACATACATACATACGTACATACGTACATACGTACATACGTACATACGTACATACTTACATACATACATACGTACATTCGTACATATACGTACGTACGTACATACGCACATACGTACATACATACCTACATACATGCATGCATGCATACATGCATACATACATACATACATACATACATACACGCATACGCACATGCATACGCACATACATACATACATACATACATCCATACATAGATACATATATACATACATACATACATCACATTACATTACATTACATTACATTACATTACATTACATTACATTACATTACATTACATTACATTACATTACATTACATTACATTACATACATAGATACACGGATACATGAATACCTGCATGCATGCATGGAACTTGTATCTAGACATTTGTTTGCGTATGCATGGATAGACACAGAGAGGGAGGGGGAAAGGGAGCGAGAGGGCGAGGGCGAGGGAGAGAGGGAGAGGGAGAGGGACAGAGAGATCTCTCTCGTAAAGAGCCAGGAATACAGCGTTGACGTGCTGAGGCGTTGACGTGGATAGATTGAAGGAAAGAGCATGGGCAGCTTTGGAGCCGACGGGATTGCCCTTTGACTGCAAATCATTGGCCTCAAGGGGAGAGATCTCCAAGCCCAAATGAGCCACGTCCTCAAAACCGATTCGGCTAGGTGAAGCTTAGTAAGGGACAATTTCCTTGCCATAAATAGTTGTGGTCGCCTTCTTCGTTCTTTACATGGTTCTGGGTTCATCATTTTTGTACCAGGTTTTGATTATGACTCACATGGGTGGCTGGTTTTTTTGTGAGTCGGTACGCGGTTGGGTTGGTTTTACAGCGCGAGGGCTGAATAAGAGATCGGTTGGTCGATGCCCGGGCGGGCTGAATTTCTAGGCGGCTGGATTTCTTGTCCAATTTCTCAGCGGTCTGTGGAGGACTTCTTTGCCAATAAATTCAGGGGCTCAATTTCTTAGCGGCCTTCTCGGGTGATGAAGGACTCCCCCCGTACCATTAAAAAACACCAACAGCATGTCTCCTCACGAGTCGTCCTTCTCGAGGCCCTTCGAGCTCTTCACCACTCTAGCCAGCCCCTGAGATTTGAAGTCGAAGCGCAGCTGGACTTCGCGGCATGGCGTCGGAGAGGTGAAGCGTTCGGGCGCCAACATCGAGAAGCTGCACTTCATCTCCAGTCCGTGGCAGCCGCTGTGGCCTGAGAGAAGGTGCATGGGTCGTTTGCGACAATACGTGCGGAATGTGCGAGGCCCGAGAAGTACGAGGGGCCCGCACTTCTTGTTCGAGCAGACTCGCCGGAGCCGCAAAGCTCAGAGCGGAAGCGCACATGCAATGCTCGGAACAAAGCTGCTTAGAGGCAAAGCAGGACGAAGACTGCACTGATCACGTTCACCTGAGGGCTTTGTTTGGGAATGCGGCGAACGCCTGCCTTTTTTTTGGGACGCGTGGGCTCAAGATCGTTTTATAGCATCCTCTCGTGACACCGCGTTCCGTCTTTTCCAGGGGGGCTATGATGCGTGCAGTGCGTATTCCGTCCAAAGCCCTGGCGCGCTGGGGCAAGCTGCGGGCCTTCTCCGCCATGCAGCCCGAGGCATTCAAGGCCGCCTACGAGGCCCACGTGGCCGAGCGCGCCACCGAGGGCATTCCACCACTGGCCCTTGATGCCGGCCAGGCGGAGTGTGTGGTGGAGATGTTGAAGAAAGCGCCCTCTGATGGAGCATTCTACTTCGACCTTCTTCGCAACAGAGTGCCCCCTGGCGTGGATGACTCGAGTCATGTGAAGGCGAACTTTCTGCGCGACATCATTCACGGCAAGGTTTCTACACCTCTCGTCTCAAAGGCTGATGCGCTGGAGATGCTTGGGTGGATGCAGGGTGGCTACAACGTGGCGCCGTTGGTTGAAGCATTGGATCTGGAACCAGAGCTAGCAGAAGCAGCAGTTGCTGGCCTGAGCCGCATGATCCTGATGTTCGATGCTTACCACGATGTGGAGGAGAAGATGAAGAAGGGCAATCCCTATGCCAAGAAGGTGATCGAATCTTGGGCAAATGCGGAATGGTTCACACGCCGCCCTGAAGTGCCCGAGAAGGTGACGCTCTGCGTCTTCAAAGTCACAGGTGAGACGAACACGGACGACTTGTCGCCAGCCCCTGACGCCTGGTCCCGCCCAGACATTCCGCTTCATGCCTTGGCCATGCTCAAGTTTCCCAGAGAGGGCATCACCAATGCGGCGCAACAGATTGCCGATTTGAAGCAGAAAGGGCACCAGCTGGCCTATGTTGGCGATGTTGTGGGTACCGGATCATCGCGGAAGTCCGCCACGAACTCCATCTTGTGGTACATGGGCCAAGACATCCCTTGTGCCCCCAACAAGCGCACCGGGGGCTTTGTCATCGGTGGAGTCATTGCCCCCATCTTCTTCAACACCATGGAGGACTCTGGGGCCTTGCCCTTGGAAATGGACGTGAAGGACTTGGGCATGGGAGACCTCATCGACCTCTACGTGAAGGAAAAGGCGGTGAAGAAGCACGGCACGGACGACGTGATCACCAAGTTCGACTTGAAGCACGAGCTGATGCTGGACCAGGTGAGCCACAATCACCCGGGTAGATGAAGCTCAGTAAAGGACCCTCCCAACCATAAATAGCTGCTCCCGCCAGCAAAGGACCATCCCCTTGCCATAAAATAGCTGCGGAGATCCGCCTGAATTCCTTACATGGTTTTCTGGGTAAGCCATTTTAGTCCCGGGTTTTGATTCTCAGGTGCGCGCCGGGGGGCGCATCCCCCTCATCATCGGCCGCGGTCTCACCAACCGGGCGCGGGAGAGCTTGAGCCTGGGGCCCACGACCATCTTCAAGCAGATGCTCAAAGCGCAAAGCGAAAAGCGAAGCGACCTTTTCACCTTTGGGTTTTTTCTCGGTTTTGGTGTTTCGCCTTGGGGTTTTCTCGGTTTTGGTACATTTTTTTTCGGTCATCCCAAAAGCTTCACCTCTTGTTTCCAGGGGCAGCTGAGGATGGCCCAGCCGGAAGTGAACGTGAAGGGCTTTACGCTGGCGCAGAAGATGGTGGGCAGGGCCTGCGGAGTGGATGGTGTTGTGCCAGGAGCGTACTGCGAGCCCCGCATGGGGACGGTGGGCTCTCAAGATACCACTGGACCAATGACGCGGGATGAGCTCAAGGATTTGGCCTGCCTGGGTTTCCAGGCGGATCTGGTGATGCAGTCGTTCTGCCACACCGCGGCCTATCCTAAGCCCGTGGACGTGATTACCCACCAGACCCTCCCCAAGTTCATCGCGGACCGTGGGGGCGTGGCGCTCCGCCCGGGGGACGGCATCATCCACAGCTGGCTGAACCGCATGCTGCTGCCCGACGAGGTGCCTGTGGTCAAAACCGTTGTGGTTGATCCCATTTTGGGTAGGTGAATTCACCACTGATTTGAGAGCCTATTCCGGTGGTTGGATGGGATGTTCACTGGGGGATAGCCATTTTAGCCGATTTTAGTGGTTGGATTGGGAGGTTCCCTGGGGCCAGGTGGGCACCGGGGGGGATTCCCACACCCGCTTCCCTCTGGGCATCTCCTTCCCCGCGGGCTCCGGGCTGGTGGCCTTTGCCGCGGCCACCGGGGTGATGCCGCTGAACATGCCCGAGTCCGTGCTGGTGCGCTTCTCGGGGAAGATGCAGCCGGGGGTCACGCTGAGGGACCTGGTGCACGCCATTCCCTACTACGCCATCAAGCAGGGACTGCTCACCGTGGAGAAGAAGGGCAAGAAGAACATCTTCAACGGCCGCGTCTTGGAGATCGAGGGACTGCCTGACTTGAAGTGCGAGCAGGCGTTCGAGCTGTCTGATGCTTCGGCAGAGCGCTCTGCGGCAGGGTGCACCATCAAGTTGACTGAGGGGCCTGTGAGGGAGTACCTGAGGTCCAACATCACGCTGCTGAAGTGGATGATCTCCCAGGGCTACAGTGATCCCCGTACCCTGGCGCGGCGCATCGGCAAGATGGAGCAGTGGTTGGCGAGCCCCGGCTTGCTGGAGGCCGACAAGGAGGCAGAGTATGCCGCGGTCATCGACATCAACTTGGACGAGCTGAAGGAGCCGGTCCTCTGCTGCCCCAACGACCCGGACGACGCCAAGACGCTCTCGGAGATCGGCAACGTCAGCATCGACGAGGTCTTCATCGGCTCGTGCATGACGAACATCGGCCATTTCCGGGCGGCCGGCAAGATGCTGGGGCAGGCCGATGGCCAGCTGGGCACGCGGCTGCGGCCCAGCTGCCCAGTGGCGCCCTCTTTTTTTCCCTTTTTTTTTTGGGGGGGGAAGGGTTCCCCTTTGAGCTCAACCAACCCAAAAAAGGATACCCGTGTTTTTTTCCATGGCGACTGGGCGTCTGAGGTGGATTGCCCCACCCACGAAGATGGATGAAGAGCAGTTGACCAAGGAGGGCTACTACTCCGTCTACGGCAAGGCCGGCGCCCGCACGGAGATGCCGGGGTGTTCCTTGTGCATGGGCAACCAGGCGCGTGTGGCAGACAACGCCACGGTGGTCTCGACTTCCACGCGCAACTTCCCCAACCGCCTTGGGAAGGGCGCCAACGTCTACTTGGCCTCTGCGGAGCTGGCGGCTGTGGCGGCCATCTTGGGCCGACTTCCCACTGGGGAGGAGTACCAGAAGTACCATGCCGAGCTGGCCAAGAACGAGAGCTCCACCTACAAGTATTTGAACTTTGATCAGGTGGACGACTTTGTGGCAAAGGCTGAGACTGTGAAAATGAGTGAGTATCAGTGAGGGATACTCGAGTGAAGCCGTTGGGTTCACGATGACTTCCAGTACAGTAGCACAGTCTGAGATCCGCAATCTTGTTGACAGGGAGAGATGAGTGTGTTGGCGGTCATTTTGGAGAAGTGAGCTCATTCTATTTCTCAAGGTTCTGCCATTTTGCCCCTGCACAAGCACAATTCTTGATCGTTTCTTGAGATTGAAACACTCGTGTTGCACTTAATACTCGCAACTGCGCAACTGCTATCAATGTGCTTGCGGGGCACGCTGCGAATCGTATGTTCCAAACTGTACATAGCAGCTGCTTTGTTTACGACCATCATGTGATGACCCCGAAAACAACAGCGCATCGTTTGCATTTGGCCGCTGGATGTGCCGGTTTCGGACCCGCTCGCAGCACCGCCAAGCCGCTTGAGCAACAGTGTCGCCGAAGCAAGCATGTTGAGTTAGAGATGCCAGGACTCGCGTTGCTAGCTTGCCACCCAGGTTTGCCAGTGCGGAGGAAATCAATGCCCAGCACTGCACACGGCTGGAGGCAAGGGTTTGTTGCGTATACATCGCCCAAGTTTTGGGGAACGAGCAAAGTGCCGAAACGCAAATGTGTTTTTGGACAGGGGGCTCTCCAACAACAAAACATGTTAGCCAAAAGGGTCGTTTCCGGTTTCCATGTTCGCGTAACAACGGATGCTCATTGGGGTGTCTTCAATGCAGAGGTGCCGAGATGGTTTTTGAAGAAGTACAGTCACCCATGACTACCTCGTGCTGTGGCCAGAATTCCTTATTTGGCTGTGGCTCGAAACCAATGGTACCATTTTGGGGTAGGTGCATCACCAATTTTAGTCTATTTTAGTGGGGATTGGGATGTTCACGGGGGGTACGGGATTTTGACCCATGGCCATGTAGTGATATCTCATGCCGAATTCTCCTGGCATAAGTTCTCACCGAAAACAGTCAGCTCTTCCCGGCCGCGCGTTGAGCCTGATGAGTCCACGCCGAAGGCGGATTGCGCATTCTCTTTCCCCGCGCCGGTAAGCATCGGGGGTCGCGCCAGCCGCACACAACCCCAATGAACCGAGCGAGCGCTTGGCCTCGAGGTGGTGCGTGGCCAAGGAAGTCACTATGGCATGCTGCAGGCAAGCGCTGTGCGATCTGCCGTTTTGACCAGGTGAATTGAAGATCTGGGTGGGGGTGTTGTTTTTTGAGTTGGTACCAAGGTTTCTTGGTTTGGTTTTCAAGGGATGCAAAAAGGAAAGCCACCATTCATTTTGGGGTCCCCTTAAAAAGACAAACCCATGTCTCTCTCTCTCTCTCTCTCTCTCTCCCTCTCTCTCCAGTCAGCACTGAGACGGCCCAGGCTGAGCACGCAGTGGTGCAAGCTCAGCTTGTTCTGGAGTTTCTGAAGAGGCGTGCAGGGTGCGTCGCAGTTGCCGAAATTGCGGTCCTTTGTGCTAGAATTGGACTTACATAAACCCTATCTTGAAATCTTCAGCATCACTTTCAGAATGACTTGTTTCTACACTGCCATCACGAGTATGCCTGTTGCGCGCCAGAGAGGGTTTTTTCTACTGAAGTCCTTTCGATGAAACATACAGCGTTATTTCGCATCCATGCAGGCAAGCACGTGATGGTTGTCTTGAATCAGAAAGCTTGTTATTTCAGCAATGTAAGCTGCAAGTCACCTAGTTGAAAGATTGTGCCGATTCCTGATGACTTGGTTCCCGGCCATCCCTTAGCGTTTTAGCTTCCTAGGGTTTCGTGGGGGTTTCCACCTAGCCAGTTTAGGGTCGCTATCTGCAACCGCTGGCTTTGCACATTTTCTTTTCCGCACGGCGCGCTTCGGGCAGCGAATAGACCAGGCTGGAAGAGGAGGCTGAGCTGGCCAAGCGGGTGCCAACGGTTGAAGGATCCGGTGGTGACCGGGGGGGGGGGGTGGCGCGCTTCTGGCTTGAGCCGTATCAAAGGTATCAAAGTCCCAGCCCTGTGCTCACATGGGTGACAAGGGCCGAGATGAGCGATATTCAAGCCATGGTTTGGTCTTTGTCACCTTGGCCAATAGCTTCCTCACTAGGTTAAACAGTAAATGTGTTCGAAGGCGTCTGCACAAGTCGAAGCTGAGTCTCTGGCTTGGACAATTCTCAAAGACATCCACGACCCTTAGTTGCTTGGTCTTTCAAACCTAGGGTCAAATGATCTTCATCAATATGTCATGCCATTTGGCCGTGGGTCAACACTAATGGGATCCCATGTTGGTTGGTAGGTGAAATCACCATCCATTTTGGAACCAATTTTTGTAGATTGGGATGGTTCTCTGGGGATACGATTTGGGTTTTGACCCATAGCCATCCTGCACCACTTTGAAACCATGGTTGAATCCATTCTTTGCTGGTATTTACGGGGAATCGACTCCTTCCAGGGTCTCTGAGGTGCTGCGATGTCCGGATTTCGCAACACCATCGGTAGCATTTGCGAGTGGACTCAGGAGTCCGCATCCTCGGGCACAGCGCTGGGCCTGGCATCTACTTCCTGCCGCGCTCCCGGAGTTGAGATGCAGTCCTGGAGTCCGCTTGAAGCGTGGGGACCTGAAAAGCCCCTGGCCTCGCCGCGGATTCTTTGGCGGCGCGGTTTTTCCCGTTTTTGGAGCTGGTGCCAACCTGGTTGGGGGTTGATGAATGGGAAACCAGAAACAGAACCGCCATCTTGGGCCATTTTTGTTCACGACTTTTCTTTGCCGGGGGGGGGGCGCCAAAACAAAGACACAGCCATTCCGGGGTGTGTTTCATCAGCCATGGCCCAGTGCGCATCCACAGGCACGGCTTGGACGGGGGCAGCCTCGCGGGGCAAGACTTGGGAGAGCTGCCCTTCCTGCTGCGCGGGGCTGAGCTTGGGGCGATCGAGGCGAGAGGAAGGCGAGAGGAAGGCGATCGGGTATGTCAGGTAAGTGTGGCTCAAAATTAAAGGGCTAGGGTTACGCAGCTTTTTGTCTTTGGTCCCATTTCCCAAGGTGCCATTTTGGTACATTTATTTGAGCCACTGCCAAGTGGGTGTGGCACCGCCTGAGAAACCCTTGAATGATTTCATTCCCCTGCAAATACCAGCAAACAATGGATTCAACCATGGTTTCAACGTGGTGGATGATTTCGTCCATCCACGGTATGTCAGGCAAGTTGTGAGAGCAAGCAACTGGTGAGATAACCTGGCGGAAAGGAGACTTATGACCATGGCTTTTGTGGGTTCTAGCCAGGCGACCGAACCACTTGCGAAGTACAATGCCCCTTTAAGTAGAAATGCAGAGCATGCGAAGCCCAACCAACATAGACAATGCAACCCAATGTTATGAAGTTGCCTTGCAGGTCAAGTTTTTCTTTTGGCTTGACCCACAAAACGCGCATGCGCACAACGATCCCAACCCAGGCCCTTGCCAAGTCGACGTGTGCGTTCACTAGTGGAACAGGGAAGGATTTGCTTCCGGGCCGAGCCGAGCTTGTGCTAGTCGCGGATGCGCCCTGAGGCCGGGACATGTGTGCACCCTGGAGTACGATGACATGGCGCCTAGACAACATGTGAGTGCTTCTCAAAACGGCCGCCCCCTGTTGGTTGGCATTTGAGGCTGGAAGCCAAGGGACACCAACGAGAACCCCCCACCACCCCATTTGTGTAGATTGAAACTTGGCCCTGAGCGGAAATGGCCTTGGGCGCCGGTGTCCTATTGGGCGTAGGTGTGGCGGCCCAGGCCTTACCAGGAATGTAAGTGCGTTGTCTGCTGGGATTTCATTTGGCTTCTCAAAAGACGAAAGCACCCAACTGGGTGGTTTTTCTTTGGTTTCCCAGCGCACAAGCTGTTCCTCTCTTCACCCAGCCGACACACCCTTTACTAGGGGATCCTCTAAATCAGCTGGTTTTCCAGGGGATTGTCCAACTCGCCCCAGCGTGTTCTTCAGCTTTTCGAGTTGCGACCCGGGGGTTCCTTACTGTGAGCCCGGGCTCTTTCCTTCATCCAGGGTGTCTTCGGTTCAGAGATGTTCCTTGGGTGAACCAATGTTTTTTGTTCTGTGACCCGTCCCTTCTGTGAAATCATGGTGTTTCTGTGAAGCCAGCTCGGATCTTTGGACTTCAACTTTTGGGGAAACAGTTCGGAGATTCCATACCCACAAATTGACCACGTTTGATACTTCTTGCGCAGAGGGATCCACAGCCCTTAAGCTCTTGGTTCGGGGACTTCGAAGGCCTTCGCCTGTGAATCCGTGGAGTCTTTAGCTGAGCTCTACCGAGCGCGGATCCTGAAGGTGCGGCAAATGGGGTGGAGTTTTTCCAGTCGACCCCGGTGAAGTAAGTCGAACTCGTCCTGTTTTTTTTTGGGTTGGCCCTCCCAAAGTGATGGATCCCCACTAAAAGGGACGCCCCCCCTATTAATCAACCAGGAGTGTATTAATGCATTTGGGTCAACATCAAGAGAGGCAAGGCGACGGGTTGAACGTGAAGGGACTGGTCTGGACGTATTAAGTGCCGACGCAACATCCGACAGCACAAAAACCAATGACAACTTGCAAGCTTTGACAGTTACACCGTCATCCATGGTTGAGAGCGGAACCAACGCCTTGGGTTTTTGCTTTCAATATTCGGTTGCTGGAGTTTACCCAAAGCTAGGGATCTGCCGAGTTTTGCTCTTCAGATCAGGCTCCTACCCCATTTGTCTTCTATGCTTTGCGTTGGTTCACTTGTTCTTTCTGTGAAAGGCTGTTGCTCCAGCTTTCAGGAATTGGAGCGCTTGAGAAAGCGATGCAAGCATTGTACTACATCACATCAATCAAGCCAGATCCGTTAGCAATGATTGATTTCCTTTGAGAAAGGAAGTTTAGGAACTTCCGTAGTACGGACACTAAGTGAAAGGTAGTTTTGCGAGTCTTGCGCGCATTTAAGATAAAGAAAGAAAGAATGAATGCATGCGAGAACCGAAACAGAGTGATTCTCTGCGCGTTTCAGCGGGCCTGCGCTTCATGTCAACCAGCTCTGTCTCCATGCCTGTCTGGCGCTGTCTCGGCATGGGCGCGGAGCGGTCTTGGCGGGGGCGCCGTGCCCCATTGCCAGCCTTCAACTGCGTGGCAGGCGCAGCGCAGCACTTTCGCGAGGTCAGGTAGAGCCTTCGTGGCAGGCGCCGCGCTCTTGCAAGGTGAGGTGGTAGATAGATCGATGGATAGATAGATCGATGGGTAGATAGATAGATTGAAGGAAGGGCTAGATAGCATGATGGATAGATTGCATAGAAGGACGGATAGCGAGACAGAGAGACCGATATGCAAATAAGAATGGAAGAAAGAGGAGAAACAATGAAGCCGAGCGAGAAATAATACAGAAAGAAAGAAAGAAAGAAAGACAGAAAGAAAGAGAAAGAAAGAAAGAAAGAAAGAAAGAAAGAAAGAAAGAAAGAAAGAAATCAAGAAATCAAGAAAGAAGAAACAATCAAACAAGGGAAGGAAAGAGAAAACACACAAAACAAGAAAAGAAAGAGTAGCTTTTATAAAGCAGAAGCTCCCGAACCACTGGCTTCGTCGGCGCTATGTTACTGCGGATGGGGAACCATGCGCCTTGCAGTAGTTGCTTGCCACCGCTTGTGGTTGGTCCTCTTGCACACTGCCTTTGTCGCCGGGATCAGCGGACTCGAAAGGTTAATGTGGGAAGCCGTGAAGTCACTGTGGAGCGCTTTTTTGGCAGTACACTTGATTCCTTGAAACTGGCAACTGAACCACAGCCAAAACGGCTGGTGCCAGACATGTATTGCAGTGGAATAGGGTAAGAACTCCATCAAAAACAATGGTGATGCTTTAAAACAAAGGATCCTTGTTGTACATTTGGCGGCTTTTGCAACGAAGCCCTGCTTTCACGAAATCCTATTTTGTGAATATTGGCTCGACTGCAGGAGGACTGCTCCGAGAAGACTGCAGGAAGACTAGAAGATTGCGAGAAGACTACGGGGAATATATTTTCAACAACGATGGGTTCAGAGATATGTCGGTTTGTCACATATTTTCCTTTAGGCAGCTCAATTGAGGAATGTTCCGTGGAATATGAGGATCCTGCAAGAGCTTGGTGAGCCAATCAATGGGTCCATTCAGCTGCCAGGATATGAAACTCCAGAAAAGGGAGGAGCTGGTGCTCGTGGGTCGGTCTGTGGGGGCCGGGAAGCCAAGAGATGTGGCTGCTGGCTTTGGGTTTTTTGGGCTTTGGGCTTTGGGCTTTGGTCCTTATGTTTTTTTCTTGGGGTTGGTAACATCACCTTTTGGTTGCCAAGTTAAGGCGAGTTTCCTTTTGGTGTGCTGTTGAAAGGGGAAACATGAGGATCCCTGGCTACCCGGCGCAAAAGGCCGCCCCTTTGATCCTCCTGTTTTATTTTGTGTGCGCGCATTCATGAGCGCTTGGGCCGTTGCCATCCAGTTTCGCTGGGTTCCTCAAATCCTTCCCTCACTGACACTAGATTTTTAAATGGGCCCCCCCAAATCCAAACCCCCAAACCCCTATTATATAAGCCCAAAATAGTGGGAGGGGTTGGCGGGACCCCTTAAAAAATCTATGAGACACGTTCTTCTCTTCATAGCGCTTGGATAGCTTTGGATGAGACCCTTGAAGATGCCGAGGGAGTTTGGAGGATTGGCTTTGCCTGGAAAACAACTAAGGAAGCCTGATCTCTAGATGGCCCTGACCTGATTGGGACACGGAGCACTTCAGTCGCCGGGATAGTTGCAAAGAGCTCTTTAAAATCTCCCAGCCTTAGACTACCCGATTTGTTTGTATGCCTCGGGACCTGATTGCATGAGCTTATCATCTCACTTGTGTTCATGTCTCCAAGGGGTTTCCAGCTACACCCTGGAATACGCCGTGGGAAAGACCCTGTTCTAGCCTATGTCCAGATAAAACCTGGTTATTTGGTCTTGTTTGGGATTCTTTTGGAAAGTTCGCAAGGGTGTAATCCCAGGGTGCAATCGGAAAATCCATAGAATGTCTCTCTTTTTTCAGGGGACCCCACAAAACAAATAAATGCACATATATATATATAACACATCGCGGCGTCCCTCGTGTTTTTCCTTTAAATCCAAACGACGCCCAGGTCTTTGTTCCGTATCTCAGGCTCCCTTGGCGTGCCTGCTGGCGCTTCAACTGCAGCAGGCGACGGGGGGGCGGCCCTTGGTTGAGTTGATGCCCTCGCGGCCCTTGGGTTTTGCGGGTTTTCAAGGGGAAGAGGGAAACTGGCGGTTTTTTCGTGGGTCCCAGGGCACCCACGGCTGAGGATTGGTGAGGCCAAGTACTTAAAAGGGGCTGGGTGATGATGGGGATCTTCTTGAAGGGGCGATCGGGTACGTCAGGTGAGATAAATTACTGAACGGAGACTTATAATCATGGCTTGAGTGTGTTATAGCCCTTATACACCATGACCTTTGGTGTGCTTGAGAACAATGAACTTCAGGTATACTTGGCTTAGGACTTTGAAAGGCCAAAATTTACCAAATCTATGCCAAAATCAACACGTGCCAATAGTACCAATCCATCCTCGGATTGAAGGAGTACTTAAAGGGGCGATCGGGTACCTTTGGCTTTTGTTAAAGGGAAACCAGAGCGCCTGTGGTTTCCAGTAAGTCTTGGGATAATGTGGGTA